GTGGTAAAAAGCACCAGCCTTGAGCACAAAAACACTAAGGGAAAGTGCCTAGATTCTGAATTCAAGCCCCAGTATGGGCACAAAACAAAAAACGTTTGTTGAATTGACATGAATTAAGAACGTTTAACTTGTGATATCTGCTATTTAATTACGGGCATCATGGAGAACTGAGGTTTTACTCTTCTTTTACGTGTAGCTTACATCATAAAGAGGTGATTTCTATGCCAGTCAATCTCACCCTCTCTCTCACTTTCCTTTACCCTCCTCTTCTGCGTGGAAGTTTTAAAGTGTAGTTTGGACAGAACTTTGATATGAAACTTATAATTTTATACTTTTTTTTTCCCCAAGTGGGATGGTATATGCCTGTAATGCTGCCACTGGGGAGGTTGAAGCAGGAATATCAAGAGTTCTAGGCTGGCCTGGGCTACACAGTAAGATGCTGTCTAAAATACAGGGGAAGGGGCTGGGAAGCACTTGCCTTGAATGCCTGAGGCCCTGGGTTCGGTTCCTCAGCACCACATAAGCAAAAAGAAAAAAGCCGGAAGTGGCGCTGTGGCTCAAGAAGCAGTAGAACGCTCGCCTTGAGCTGAAGAGCTCAAGGACAGCACCCAAGCCCAAAGTTCAAGCCCCACGACCGACCAAAAAAAAAAGAAAAGAAAAAGGCAAAGTGACAGGGAGAAGGGAGGGCAGGATGTGGACATGCAGCTCAGTGCTGAGTGCTAGACTGGCTTGCATTAGGCCCAGGGTTCCAGTCCCCAGCATTGTATCTGGGTCTGTCTGTCACGATGTGGAAGATCTGGGTAGCGGCAATGTCATGGGGAGAAGTGGAATGAGAGTCAGGTCTGATAGCTACCTGAGCCATCCCAACCTCTGCCTTCTCCACAGTCTGTGCTGTGGACTAGATGTCAGAGGCCATTTGAAGCTCACTTCATCCTCAGTGTAGTGAGGCTGGGAGCTGTCAGGGGAGTTGGCTCACGAGTGTGGGGGCCCTGGTGGAGAGGATTGGTGCACTCCTGAAACAGGATGGGTAATGTCTCCCACGTGGACACAGCAGGAATGAAGCTCAGCTCTGAACTCCTGGCTGCTTCCAGAGCCCACCAACAAATGACTGAAGGATCCTTTGCCTTACACTTTTTTCCTCCTTCACAGTGACTGGAAGGAGCCTCGACTTTGCACATGCTAGGTAAGTGTCCTAACCAGACTACACTAGCCCTTAACATTTTCTTTATTGTGGACACAACTTAGCCTTTTCAACTTTATCTTCCCTTTTTGATGATATAGTTTATACTCTAACCAGGGTATAGACACATTCCTAACTTGTTGCTTCATGTTGATTTTTTTTTTCTTTCTTTTTGGCAGTACTAGGGTTGAATTCAGTCTGTTTTTTGCTAGGTAACTACTCTACCACTTGAGCATCATCTGCTTTTTGCTTTTAGTTTGTCTTTCAGATAGAGTCTCATGCTTTTGTCCAGGCCAACCCCAGATGGAGATCTTCCACCTATACCTTATCAGTATCTTGGATTACAGGCATGCACCACCAGGCCCAGTCCCTGGCTGACCTGCCTGCCTCTCTCTCTCTCTGCCTCTGTCTCTTTTTTCTTGTCCTGGGGTTTTAACTCAGGGCCTGGACACTGTCCCTGAGCTTTTTTTGCTCAAAGCTAGCACTTTACTACTTATGCCACAGCACTACTTCTGGCTTTTTCATTTTATGTGGTACTGAGGGATCAAACCCAGGGCTTCATGCATGCTAAGCAAGCACTCTACCACTAAGCCACATTTCCTGGCCTTTTTTTGAGTCCTTTGTGCATGTTAGAATTTGAATCTAATGTCACCCAAAGGCTCATGTATAAAGGACTTAGTTGGCAGCTGGTGAGTCTTTGAGAAGTGACTGGATCCTGAGCACTGAGTTTATCAACAGATCCACTGAGCTTGGAGCTGCACTGTTCTGTGGCTGGGGTTGATTAAAGAAAGTCATAGGGATGCCCTTGAAGTACTTATCTTGTTCCTAACCCCTGTCTCTGCCTCTGCTTCCTGGCAACCATGAGAATATCTCTCCCCTGCCACAATGCTCTGCTGTGCCACATCCCGTCATGAACTGAGGACTCTGGAACCCTGAGCCAACATGTCTTTCCTTGCTTAAATTGTTTCTCAGGTGTTTTTCATGGTGACAAAACACGCTGCACACAGGACAGCTCTCACCAACCCCAAGTTTTCCCCACCTGAAAAACCCCCTGGCTCCCACACTGGCAGTACCAGACTGCAGCCAGCCCTGCTGTGAGACCCCTATGCAGCTCAATGCCCACACAGCCCTGGAGGCTGAGGCTGTCTTGCTGTGAGCACAATCCATATATCAGTGTCTAGTAGTTCCTATTTGCATCTCTAGGTCTGAGTCCTCTGACTTCATGCAGAAACCAGGCTTTCTAGAGAAATCTCAGCAGTGATCACTTTGGCCTTTTGGGGATGATTGTACAAAGATGGAGCCTGTTTACTAAATGCAACTTTTTTTTAAGTACTGAATTTGAGATCAGGGTCACTTGCAGATGACTTGCTAGGCAGTTGCTTCACCACCTGAGCCATGCTTGCAGGCCTTTTATGGTTTGTTAATTTTCGGACAGTTTAGTTTTTCACTGGACTAGTCTCAGAACAAGACCCTCTTAACAATGCCTCCTTGAGTAGCTGAAATTACAGGCAGAAACCTCCATGGCCAGCTTATTGGTTGACATGGGGATCTCACTATAGGCCTGGGCTAGCCCTAGACCAGTTCTGATTTCCAACTCTGAGCTTGCTGGGATTATAGCCATGAACTACTGTGCATGGATTAATTTTTGTTGTTGTTGGTTGTAGGGCTTGAACTCTAGGCTTGGGCACTGTCCCTGCGCTCTTCAGCTCAAGGCAAGCACTCTACCGCTTGACCCACAGTGCCACTGCCGACTTTCTGAGTGGTTTATTGGAGATAAGAGTCTCATGGCCTTTCCTGTACGAGCTGGCTTTGAACTGTGATCCTCACATCTCAGCCTCCTGAGTGGCTAGGATTACAGGTGTGAGCCGCTGTTGCCTGGCTGATGGATTACTTCTTCTAAGACATCCCCAAAGGTGCCAAGTAGACTCTGTGAACCTCAGGATAGGGACCTACACACATATTTTCCCCTAGAGTCCAGAACCCAGGGCCACTCTGATAAATTACCAGCACTATTCCCCATGGCCAGGCTGAAATATTTATTTGAAAAACTGAAAACACAGATGCAATGTATTATACAAAGAAAGGTCTTAATACCAGAATAAAAGTTTTGTTGGGAGGAAACAAAAGGCAGTGGCTGCCCGCCCTGGAAAGGTAGGCACTCTGTGAGAAATGAGATTTACCTATAGCAACTATTCTACTGGAGAACTGGGAGAGAAGTTAAAAAAAAAAAAAGGAAGAAAAGAAAAACCAACCCAGCCCATCCCTGCAAACCTACACATGCGAATCTGTTCTCAGTCTGGGACATCTGTGTTGTCACTAAGACTGAGTGGAGCTGCCTCAGCTGGTCCTCCAGTGGGATCAGCTTCAAGCAGGGCCTTCAAACCTGAGGTAGTTGATCACCTGCAAAACCCGGCTGAACAGAGCTATGCCAGGAATGGGGTCTTCTCCCATGAGCCTGGCTCCTGGGTGGAAGGCAGTGACCACTGGGCCGCTGGTCCCAGGAGTGCAAACCTTCCTGTCTGACTGTGGGTAGCTGGCAGGCTCAGTGGCCCTCACACATCCCCTGCTATGGGGCAGTGTGGTTTCTGAAGGACCAAGATGGCTGGTCAAGGGCAAAGCCACTGTTTGGAAGGCCAAACTTGGGGCTGAAGGCCTTCCTTGGAGGATAAGATTCCATACCTGGAAAGGCAGCAGAAGGTCATGGCATTTATTTTTGTAGGTCGTGGGGCTTGAACTCAAGAATCTGGGTGCTGTTCCTGAGCTTTTTGGCTCAAAGCTAGCACTCTACCACTTGAGCCACAGTGCTACTTCCGATTTTTAGGTGGTTAATTGAAGATAAGAGTCTCACAGACTTTCCTGCCCAGGCTGACTGAACTGTGATCCTTGGATATCAGCCTTGTAAGTAGCTAGTATTATAGGCATAAGCCACCAACCTGGCTTAGGTAATGGTATTTCGATCTGTCCCCTCTAAGGAGCAGGGCAAAGTGAGAATGTTCCAGGCATAAGCAGAGAAATGACCCCTCAGGAGCCAGCGGCCAAAGCACAGCAGCCTAACCAGGGGACTCAACCTTGGATGGGTGTTCCCTGGCACGGACCTTGGTGTCTGACCTGATAGTTGTAGAAACCCATGGCAGGACATGTCCCAGCAGGGTTTGATTCCTAAGAACAGCACTGAGGAGAGCAGAGCCAGCAAGCAATCTGAGTCAAATGGAAACTCTGTTCAGACATAAAATGATCCTGCAAAGTTGTTACAAAATTCTGAGATTGGACCTCAGTCCTGGACTGTCATCCTCTGGTGTTAGGATATTCTATGTTGACCCATAGGACTTGAGTGTTGGGAGATCAAGTGACCCTTCAAAAGACTGCAAGGTTCACTCAGCTTTGAGGTGTGCCTGTTTTTTTGTGGGGTGGGGGGCAGTCATGGGGCTTGAACTCTGGGCTTGGGCGTTGTCCCTGCGCTCTTCAGCTCAAGGCGAGCTCTCTACTGCCTGAGCCACAGCAGCACTTCCGGTTTTCTAGTGGCTTACTGGAGATAAGTCTCACGTACTTTTCTAAAGTCCAGGCTGACTTTGAACCACGATCCTCAGATCTCAGCCTCCTGAGTAGCTTGGATTACAGGCGTGAGCCACCGGCCCCAGGCTAGTGCCTGCTGTTTTTATCACAGGCATTTCACACTCACCTTGATGCACTTATCTAGTAGTGCCAAGGTAGGGCAAATTGCTTTGGGTTTGAGAATGGTGTCATTTCTAATCTGAGTTCTAACAAGAGTAACACCCCATGACAAGTAGGGACACTCAGGTGACACTGAATTAGGCCTTGATTCCACTCTTCTATCACTCAGGATGAGCTCATGAGGGTTTATTGTTTGAACTCATCATGAGGGTTTATTGTTTGAACTCATGGGTTTCTGTTTGCTAGGCAGGCTCTACCTCTTAAGCCATGTCTCCAGCCCTGCTGTGATCCTTTTATTAGTGAGTTTGAGGATCCAGTCTGTCCTGATGTAATTGATTAGCAGATTCATGAGACAAGGAGCAGGGGTGGCTGGGGTAGCCCCTTTGGGGCCCCACTGGCATGAGTGAGCAGGGACGCCTCCACAGCAGTTGGCCCATGTCTATAGCAACACTTCATTAGCCTGGCATGGAGGTCTCATGTCGAGTGACTGTCCAAGTTCCTGGACAGTGGAGTGCAGAGTGGGGGTGGGCAGGGCAGAAGGGGTAATTCACAGTGATCAAGCAGAGTCTCACAACCCATCACATAGCAATCCAGTCTCATGACTACGTCCTGCAGGGACGAGGTCTAGGAACTGCTTATGGGCTCCTACTGGTAAGGAAGACGGTGTGTTGCCAGGATTGGAAGGTCACTTAACACAGGGTTACTTGGAAGCGGGAAAGTGCCGTCTTTAGAGGCTGTGCCCTTTGTCCTCATCCTGTCTGCAGCGTAGCAAGAGCTGGGACAGGGGATGGAGGTCCTGGGCTGGGGATCCCCAAACGTTAGCCCCCCACACACTGAGGACCTTGTCTGTTTTGGGACCCAAGCACAGCAGTGGCCAGGGAGGGCATCCTTTGTGAGCTGTGAAGATGGCAGAGACACAGTGCACACTGGGTACCCTGCTCTCAGGACTGGTTAATAGAAGGATCCCCTACGGCCCGGAGCTCTTCCGGACAGGAGGGAGGGGGTAAGAGCACATGGAACCGTCTTCTGCAGATTCACGATGTCACCATGGCAGACAGGTGGTGGGAGGGACTGGAAAGGCCTCCATGGCCACTTGCCACCAGCTCCATTGAAGCACACAATGAAGGGGGTTGCAGGTGTCCCCTGGGGGTGGTGCTCAGGTGCCCTGTGGCTTTTAAGGGTGTAGAGGTGTTGGGCCGGCGTCCAGCACGAGGAAGAGAAGGCACTCGCTCTGCTTGGGACATAGAGGAGGCTGTCACCCACCCTGGGGTGGCCTCAGTGTACTTGGGGACACCCGGCGAGCAGGCAGAGCAGGAGCACCAAGGCAAAGCTTGAGTGGCACCATGGTGGGGCCCCCAAGGGCTCAGAGTCCTGGGACAGGCCTATGGGAGAGTTGGCTGTGTGAGTGAAATGTGGAAAATAGAAAACCAAGAGCGTGAAGGAACCCTGGAGGAAGCGGTGCAGATCTGAAGGAGAGCGAGGGCTCCGCCAGGACCTTGCATTCCACTGCATGGACAGACAACATTCTCTAATGGCGCCTATGTGTCCACCTCTGGCTCTCAGAGGCTCAACATTGTGCCAACGATGATCCCAGAAGAGACTGAAGGAAGAAGAAAGAGGCATGAGCTGCTCCCTCTAGGTCAGCGGGTGCTGGGCAGGCTGGACCCCAGGGATGCAGAGAAATATCCCAGATTGTGTGTGCATGTAGGGGCAGCACCGAGGGCGGAGCCTTCAAAGGGCCACACAGGTCCTCAGTGGAGAGGCTGGTCTGTGGCAGGAGTGGCACACACACAGGTGGGTGTTGAGGATTTATACTGGCGTGTGGGCACTGGCTTGGCTCTATTCTTTCTCGGGGACCGCCTCTTGCAGCGTAGATGTGGGCACCTCTGTTCCTACAAGACAATGGCAATTTATATCACCTGGTATTCATGCATGGAATCACCAAGCCAACAATGTGTTTGGTGCCTGCAAGCTCAGTGTCCTGGGATTGTCCAATCTCTGAACTGGCCACTGCAGCCAGGCAGGGCAGTTGAGAGATACCAAGTGACAGCAGGCTTCAGGCCTGGGGGGTTGGAAGATCACCTACCCACTTCTAGTCAGCCTTTCTATTTAGTATCATTTTTGCTAGTCATGGGGCTTGAACTCAGAGCCTGGCTACTGTCCCATAGCTTTTTGGCTCAAAGGCTGGCGCACTACCACTTGAGCTCCATTTCTGGCTTTTTGCTAGCTTGAAGATATAGTCTTGAGGACTTTCCTGCCTGGGCTGGATTCAAACTGATATCCTCCAGATTTCAGTCTCCTGAGTAGCTGGGATTATAGGTGAGTCACTAGCATCTGGCTTTTCCTGGTTACAGCCTGGTCACCCTCTTGTCCATCTCCAGCAATCACTATTCAACTCTGCTGGCCAGAGACTAAACCACCAGGGACTTACCAGACCAGTGGCCTGGGGACAAGGCTGACAACAGTTTCAAGCTCCAGCCGCAGGCTCTGAGGTTCCTTGTTCCTTCAGAGGGGAGGGTCTGGGCCATGTAGCCTCCTCATTGTGGGTCCCCAGGACAACTTACCTTCTTCCCAGCCTTCTGCCACGCCAGCGAGCTCGTAGTGCTTTTTCCTCAGCTCTCCTAATTTCTGCCGCTCCTTTTGTAGTTCATTTTCCAGCTCTAGCACCCTAACCTGTGGGCAGTGGAAGTGCAAGTTGTCTTCGTAGATGACCAGATGAGCAGAGGTCTCACTTCTGCCCCGCTAGTAACTCACCATCTGACAGAGCAGCCATGGCGGGCCCCAGTCTAGCTGCGACTCTCCTTAACTGTTGCTCCCTATAAGTCTACCATAGGACCAACAAGGATGGCCTACTATCTACCTCCAGTCATTCTAGCTCACTACAGGAAGCACAAATCATTAGTACTTTTCATGTATCAATTCAAGAAATAGTGCCAGTGCCGGCACCAGTGGCTCACACCACTGCTAGCTACTCAGGATCATGGTTTGAAGCCATGTAAGACTCTTATCTCCAATTAATCTGTAAAAGGCCAAAAGCCTTGAGCTGTGACTCAAGTGGTAGAGCACAAACCTTGAGCAGAAAGCTAAAAAGTTAACAGGCAGTGACCAGGCCCTGAGTGCAAGCCCCAGTACCAGCGCAAAAAAGGATTGCCCAAGCCCCAATCACACACCCCAGGTTCTGTTTGTATCACAGGGGAAGAGACCAACAGATGGACGAAATGACATCAGGTGGTAAAGTGATAAAGTTGAGTGCATCGAGCACGGGGTGGGGTGGGGCGGGGAACTGATGGATGGACTCAGGAAATGGCTTTCAAGCAAGTGAGCTGAAATCTTCCTGACCAAATATCAGTTGGGTAGGGAGTAGGAAGACATTCTAGAACGCTCCAGGCAGAGGGCACAACAAGAACAAAGATCCAGGGGTAGCAATGAGCTTCAGGAGAAGGGGGGGGGGAACAGTGTGGAGCATGTATACAAGGGGACTTGTGGGGAGTGACAGCTTCTCCTGAGGATAGCCTTTGGTGGGTGAGATGGCGGCGGAACCAGGGCATGGGGTTTCTTACCTGGGAATCCATCTCCTGGCGCTTGATCTGTGTCAGCGTCATGCTGGAGAAGTCCATGCTGTCTGCCGGGTGGAACCGGGAGGGCAGGGTCAGTGCTGGGCCTGGGCGCCCAGCCACTAACAGCACAGAGGGAAGAGGAAGGAGAGGCGAGGAGGACAGGGAGACCCGGGGTACCAGGATCTGACCTCTGTGGGTGGTAAGTATACCCAAGGCAACACAGACCACAGGCTACCTGATTCCTCAATCTGTGATTTGCCAGAAATGGTGGAGGCCACCACTCCTGCCGTGGCCTGATTCACGCCCCTTGATGCCTGCTGCAGCTGGGCCAGGTTGGGGCTGTCCTTGTCTGCTTTCACCTGCAGGATAGAGTGGATGAGTTGATGTCACACATACCCCACCCACCATAGCCATAGGTCCCTGAGACACTGTAACGGCCACAATTATTCCTGGCTTAGTGGCCCAGAGACCCCATCTCTAACTTTCTCACCTATGTGTTTTTGTCAGTCTTGAGACTTGAACTCAAGGCCTGGATGCTGTCCCTGAGCCTCTTCATACTTAAGGCTAGTCTACCACTTGAGCCATAGAGCCACTTCCAGCTTTTCCTGAGTAGTTTACTGAGTCTCACAGACTTTCTTGCCTGGGCTGGCCTTGAACTGCGATCCTCAAGATCTCAGCCTCTTGAGTACTAGGATTATAGGTGTGAGCCATGGGCTCCTGGCTCACCCATTTGGATAAACTGTTGCAGATATAAAACCCAACTTGGGCCCAGAAGAAATAAGGAATAAAGCGCTGGGAAGGTGACTCAGTGGTAGAGCGCTTGCCTTGCATACATGAGGCCCTGGGTTCGATTCCTCAGCACCACATAAGCAGAAAAAAAAAGCCGGAAGTGGCGTTGTGGCTCAAGTGGTAGAGCGCTAGCCTTGAGCTGAAGAGCTAAGGGACAGCGCCCAGGCCCAGAGTTCAGGCTCCAGGACTGGACCCCCCCCCCCAAAAAAAAAAAAGAAAGAAGGAATAAAGCACACTGGGTAGGGAGGGATCCGCAAGAGGGCCACATGGGGCAGGGGTGGATTATACATGTGCTTGGAGCTACAGCAGGTAACCTTGTGTCAGCCCATGATCCCAAATGCTGGCATTGCCACTTCCTGGAAGTGAGGAGCACAGGACCTCTAGAAGAGGGTGATAAAAAATTCCTGAGTTTTGTTGGTGTAATGGGGTTGGAATTCTAGGCCTGGGCTCTGTCCCTGAGCTCTTCAGCTCAAAGCGAGTGCTCTACCACTTGAGCCATACCACCACTTCTGTTTTTCTGGTGATTTACTGGAGATGAGTCTAACGGACTTTTCTGCCTAGGGTGGCTGGCTTTGAACCTCGATCCTCAGATCTCAGCCTCCTGCATAGCTAGAATTACAGGCATGAGTCACTGGCGCCTGGCTAAAACTCCTGAGCCCCATGTGATCTGGGTCATGGATAAATCCCATGTGTGTGGGGTCAGTTCTATGGCCCAGTACTTCTTTTTGTTTTTTGGAGACAAAGTCTTCTTGCTATGTAGCCCAGGCTGGCCTCAAACTTAAGATTCTCCTGCCTCAGCCTCTTGAGTGCTGAGATAACAAGTGTGCATTACTGTGCCCGGCTGGCCCAAGTACTTCGTTTGGAAGGTGGGAGTCCAGTGCAATTCCTACCTTGGATGCAGCCACGAGCTGGGCTGTGCTAGCAGCGATCTCATGGGAACACACCATCAGCTCTTCAAACTTCCCTTTGCCCTGTACCACCAGGTCAGCAGCGTCCCTGAGAGCCAGGAACAGCAGGGGCTGAGGCCAAGGGAGCTGAGCGCCTGCTGACCCCACCTCCCAGCCCCATCCCGGGGCCCTGGCCGGGTAAGGAGGACAGGTTTTGTGAAACTTTTATTTCCACAGGAAAAGATCCTGTCTTCCCAGCGCCCCCCGACCCCGGTCCTGGGGGTCAAATCCAGGACCTCAATCAACCACACTTGGCAGAGTCTCAATAAATAGCCCAGCCTAGCCTCAAACCCATGATCCTCCCTCCTGCCTCTGCCTCCCAGGGACAACAGGTGTGTGCTGTCATATGTGCCCTGGGACGGACATGGCTTCTGGAATGGACCGACAGGCGGGGTCTGGGCAGAGGGGGCCATCCACACTTACACCATGACAGTGGCTCCCCAGCCCACAGCTTTGGAGGCTGAGATGAGTCCTTCTGTCCACCGAGAATTCTTGGCATAAAATTCCTTAGGGGAGGCAGTACCCTATGCAGGCAAAAGACAGCAAGTGAGCGCTCCGTTCTGCAGCGCATGCCTTGCACACACCAAGGGCCTGGGTTCAATCCCCAGCACTGCAAAACAAAACACCCAAGCCAGATGGATGCCAACTCCAGCAAGGGACCCAGGTAATGCTGTCCCAGGAGGCCGCGTGACCCATCAGTGAACCCAGCCAGCCTCCCTTTCTGCTGCTAACAACCTTTGAATGGAAATAATGTTTAAAACACTGCATCTAAACCAATCACATACAGGCATTCTCATCATGATTTCCTTAGCAATAGAAAACCTGTTATTTTTAGGAGGGGGTGGCAGTACTCGGGTTCGAACTCAAGGTCTTGAACTTACAAGGCAGGAGCCATACCACTCAAGCCAGGCCTCCAAGCCTGGTTGCTTTTTAGTTTCTTTGGATAGGGTCCTGTTTTTGCCTGGGCTGACCCGGACTTCAATCTTTCTATCAGTTTTGGGACCTGAACTCTGAGCCTGGGCGCTGTCCCTCAGCTCTCCAGCTCAAGGCTAGCACTCTACCACTTGAGCCACAGCGCCACTTCCAGCCTTTTCTGTTTATGTGGTGCTGAGGAATCGAACCCAGGGCCTCATGCATGCAAGGCAAGCACTCTACCACTGAGCCACCTCCCCAGCCCTTCAATCTTTCTATCAAGGACTCTGGTATTGGAATGAAATGTGTATCCCAATGCACTCAGCTTTGTTGGTTGAGATGGGGAGGGAAGAGGGTCTCACTAACTTTTTGCCTAGGCTAGCCTTGAACTACAATTCTCCCAAACTCCACCTCCTGAGTCGCTGGAATTATAGGCATGAACCTGCATTTATATAGTACTAAGTATTGTAAGTCATCTTGATATGATTTAAAGTATATAAGAGGTTGTGTGCAAGTTCTCTGTTTTTTGTGTTGTTATTGTGATTTTTGAGAAGCAGTTCTACCTTGTTGACCAGACTAGCCTAGAAATCACCATCCTCCTGTCTTAGCCTCCCAGTGCTGTGATTACAGGTATGTACTACCATACTTGGCCTTAAAGCATCTTACAAAGGGACTGGAACATCAGGGTATTTGGTAACCAACAAGAGATCCTGGACCCAACTCTTTGAGTCCAATGGATATTTAACTAGATTTGCGCTTGGGATCCATCTAGCTTTCAAAAATCCTGTCATCTTCAGAGAACCAAGTTGTGCAAGGTGAATGGGGGGCTTCCACACCAAGTCCTTCTGGGGTCTGTGAACTGGAGCTGGAAGCCAGAGCTGACTTCTGTCTGGGGGCTGCCAGGATCCCACCTTGTCCCTCAGTGCCTGCCAGCCTCAGGAGCAGTTGCTCTGCCCTTGATGGGCCCAGCACAAGTTCCCATTCTGAACATAAGGAGTGTGTGCAGCCAAGCTCGGCCCAGCTCGCTCACCCGGCCACTGTCCACAATCTCCCTCTGGAGGTCCTTGGAGGCTGCCACCAGAGCCTGGATGGCTTGCATCAGGCAGGTACAGGACCCAAGGATCCTGGGATAGATGCAAAGCAACAAAAATGTAAGGCCAGAGACCCTAGACAAAGTGGGCATTCTTCAGCTCTCCAACCAAGGCAGACCTGGGGTGGGACTGAGAGGTGGGGAAGGCTTGGGGGAACATGAGGGGTGGGAGTGGGGTGGGGAGGAAGCTTGAATGAAGGCCTGCTAGTGTCAATACTGCATCTGCTTCAGAAGGAAAATTGTCATGACCTGAAGAGTTCCATTTCCCACAGTGTTAAGTTCTCCCCACCACCCCACCCCCTCACAGGGACGCTATTGCGCATGTGCATGTTGGATCACCCCCCCTTCCACCCCCCCTGATCTTGCCTGCCCCTCACCAGGGTGCATATGCAGGCCGGACCCACCTTTCATTCACCTCCAGTTTGACGCCCGTGTCTCCCGCTCGGGATTTGCTGAGCATTTCCTGTAGAAAAGTTGTTTTCTCAATTGGGCACAGCACTGAGAGGGGGGAAGGGTCTGCCCTACCCTTGAGGGTTGGGGGGTCCAGGGGAGGGCAGGTGTGGATGGTCCTGGGGTCACTCAACACTGCCAGCTGCATGGCAGCCCCTCCCAGGCTGTGCGGAGCAAGCTGATAAAGGCGACAGACTCCTAAGCCAGGTGAGCATGACACACCTCACACAACCAGGATGCTCCCATCTGAAACTTGAGCCCTGCATGGTCCAACACCCCCAGGAAGAAACTGCTCCCTCCCCTCAGTGACTTTGTGTGTGTGTGTGTGGGGAGGGCGAGGACTGAACTCAGGGCCTCTTTCTCTCAGGCAATCCACTGCCTGAGCCACCCCCAGGGCTTTTTGCTTTAGTTTCTCAGGACTTTGGACCATGATTGTCCTACCTGCTCCTCCTAAGTAGCTGGAATTACAGAGGGGAACTACCACACTCAGCCCCTTGGTTTCTTTGAGGGCCTCTGCAGCCTTCCTGACTAAAGGGGCAACAGCACTGCAGGGACCACATCGAGCACTGGCGGCAGAGACCGGAGAATTCCCTACCTCAATGCGGGTCGTGGCGGCTTCAATGGCAGCGGAAGTGGCGGCCATCTCCTTGTCCACCAGGTCCCCCAGCTCCTCCTGTCTGATGTCCAGGCCCCTGGGCAGCAGCTCCTGGGAAGAGCATGGCAGAGGCTGACAGGACACGCCACCCTCCTCTCCCCTTCCCTACAATAGTCTACGGAAGTATTTTCCTTTTTCCTTTTTTAGTTCTGGATGGAACGCAAGACCTTGTGCATGTCTTCTAGGAAATAACTTCAGCTACACACCCAGTCCTTTGTGTGCATGTGTGTGCACACATGTTTGTGCACCAGTTTGGGTCTTGAACTTAGGGTCTGGGCACTGTCCCTTAGCCTTTTTCTAGGCTGGTGTTCTACTCGTAAGAGCCATAGCTCCATGTCTGGGTTTTTGGTGTTTAATTAGAGATAAGAGTTTCATAGACTTTCCTGCTCAGGCTGGCTTTGAAACCATGATCCTCAGATCTCAGCCTCCCGAGTAGCTGGGATTACAGGTGTGAGCCACAGTGGCCAACTTGCCCATGATCCTTCTGCCACACTTCACTTTGTTGCTATTAATTGTTTTGGAGACAGTGTCTCACTCTGTGGCAGCCCAGGCTGTTCTGGAACCCCACATCTCCTTTCTGGAATGAAGCAGCAGGCGCTGGTAGATGCCACCAGGTTCACCTATGCTTCCCCTCAACAACAGTGATCCTGCTGCGCCTGAACAATGCTGAGTGCTGAGTACCTCGCCAATGGCCTGGATCCTGCTGAGACTGCTCCTCACAGCTGTGCTGTCGGCCTTCTCCAGGGATCCCTCGTCCTTCAGGGAGGTGAGGAAGGCCAGAGTCTCCCTGCCACACTGCGTACAGGCCTCGCTCAGAGCTGGAGACACAAGGAGACGGTCACTTGGAGGCCCTGCATGCACCCTGCTTTTGGGCTGGGCCCGACTGCCCAGTACTCACAGTCGGCCGGCTCCGGGGGCGCGCGGAGGCTGGTGGCACTCCCGTGTGCAATGGTGTCACTGGTGAGGTGGGCGAGGAGGGTGATGGAGTGCAGGAGCCGGCTGAGGCCTGCGGGGGCGGGAGGAAAGGTAGCTCAGGCGGGACGGGGCTATTGCCTTCTGACTTTCCCCCCCTACTTCCCATGTCACACCCACTCCTCCCCAGGAAGCAGGAATTTGTCACCATCCCCATGTTTGAGGTTTTCTTGGTTGATTTGATTCTGTGACCGGTCTTACTGTGTAGCCAAGGCTGGCCTGGAACTCATGATCTTCCTGTCTCAGCCTCCCAGGTGCTGGGATTACAGGCATGCACTACCATACCTACCTGCTGCTGGTGATAGGGCTGATGCACCCTCTGCCCTCCTCACCTTCTGGGTTGGCCAGGTACTGGGTCTGGTCCTTTTCCAGTTGGTCAAGACAGCTGGAAACACACTTGATCTTGGAGAGAAGGTGATCTGGGAGAGGGGAGGGGGTAAAATCAGAGTGAGGTCTCCCTTCACCTCCACATCAAAGACACAGGACGGGCTGACCCAGCATGGGCCCCTAGCCCTTGGGAGTCGTCCTAAGACAGGAAAGCCAGGTAGACAGTAGGCCATGTCAGTGCTGAAATGCTGTATGTGATCCTGTTTGGATTTTTGCACTACTTTGGATTGAACCCTAGCATGTTAGCCAAGTGTTCTTGCACCTGGGCCAACCCCCCAGCCCTTTCACTTTTAGTTTGTTTTTCAGATAGGGTCTCTAGTTTCACTTGGACTTTGATTCTCCTCTGTCTCCTAAGTGGCAGATTCTAGGTGTGTGCGACTATACCTGACAACGTGTTCTTACTGTCTACTTCGAAAGCAATGGTGCTGAAACTACTGGGGACCTTAGCCAGGAACCAAGGAGCCCGACTGCCGCCCAGGCATGACTTCCCTGGCTGCGATCACCTGCGAAGTCTCTCAGGCCCTTTGAGTCTTGCTCCTCATGAACCCAGGCCTTGGCTCTTCTAGGCTAGTCTGTCTGCCATGTTTTGTTATTTATTTTTTCCTGTGGTACTAGGGATGAGACAGAGCTTTAGGCTTGCTCGGCAGGTGCTCAACTTGAGCCATGCCCCATGCCCCTCATCCTACCAGGTTTAAGAGATTTTTATTTATTTTTTGATGGTTCTAGGGCTTGAACTCAGGGCCTGGGCACTGTCTCTGAGCTTCTTTTGTTCAAAGCTAGTGTTCTACTACTTGAGCCACAGTGCCACTTATGGCTTTTTCTGAATAGTAAAGAGTCTTACAGACTCTCCTGCCTGGGCTGGCTTTGAACCATGACCTTCAGATCTCAGCCTACTAGCTACTGCTAGCATTACAAGGGTAAGCCACCGGCACCCGGCTAGAGATGGGGTCTTATTCTATACCCACTGCTAAGCCACAGCTTCATAGAGCCTGCAGAATTGGTAGTGTGCAGGTCTGATTTCTGGCTCTACCACTCTGCCATCTGTGTCTGTACTTGCCTCCTGGTCCTGGTTTGAGAGCTGAGCCACAGGGTAAGGTACAGAAGAAAGCATGTGAAACATTCAACATCACAGTTGGCACAGGAAAAAACCCTCTAATCAAAGTTGGCATGCCTATCTATTTATCTACCTACCTACCTATCTACTTATCTGCCAACATCAGGGCTTGAACTCAGGACCTCTGACTTGCTTGACTTTCTTGCTCACTGCTGAAGCTCTACCACTTGAGCCACACCTCCAGGCTCTGTGCGTGTGTGTGTGTGTGTGTGTGTGTGTGTGTGTATGTTAGTTCTGAGGCTTGAACTCAGGGCCTGACTTGGCTCCACTTCCATTTTTTTTGGTGGTTAATTGGAGATAAAAGTCTAGAAGACTTTCCCACTTGAGCCACACCTCCAGGCTCTGTGTGTGTGTGTGTGTGTGTGTTAGTTCTAGGGCTTGAACTCAGGGCCTGACTTGGCTCCACTTCCATTTTTTTTGGTGGTTAATTGGAGATAAAAGTCTAGAAGACTTTCCTGCTCAGGATGGCTTCAAACCATGATCCTCAGATCTCAGCCTCTTGAGTTAGCTAGGATTACAGGCGTGAGTTAACAGCACCTAGCCACCCTAGTATTTTTACTGGTTAAGTAGCGATGGAATTTCATGGACTTTTGTAAACTGGCTAGCTTTGAAATGTGATCCACAGATCTCAGCCTCCTGAGCAGCTAAGATTATATGCTTGAGATCCAGCACTTGTCAGTTATTCTTCCTGGTCTCCATTAGCTCAAGTCTCTTCTTTTCCTATAAAGCATAGCTCTTATCTCCACGCCCTATGTTTCTGGCTTTAGTTTCTTTTTGAATAGGATCTCTCATTTTTGCCTGGGCCTCCCTGGATTGCAATCTTCCTACTTGTACCTCCTACATAGCTGCAATGACAGGCATGCACCACTATGCCCAGTTTTATTGGCTGAGATGGGGTTTTGCTAACTTTTGCCTGGGTTGGCTTTCTAAGCAGGGGGTGGGGGAGGGGGAGGGTGTTTGCAGGCATGCATCACAGAGTCCATCCCATTCCCATCTGCAGTTTTCTCATTAGAGATGCAGACTTGCCCCATCTCCTTTTGTCTGCCTTCCTGGTTATTTTGAAGTTGTATCTGCAGGGCAATCCACTGATTGGCATAGAAGGTGTTGTAGGACGTGATTGCCCAGGCCAATGGCAGAGCCGGGGGCTGGTGGGAAGAGAGTTACCTGCTGACCCCACGCAGCTGATGAGGGTGGGCTCCTCCAGCCTGTCCAGGGCCTCCTGGACCACCCGCTCTGCAGCCTTCCTGGAACCTTCCAGGAGCACCCTGCGCTGGTCTTTCTCCAACTGGCACAGAGATTCCTAGAAACAGCCCAGGGATGTGAGCATCTGCATGGATGCCATGATGGGCATCGAGCGCCAGGCAGCTGGGCCTCCAGGCCCCTCGGCTAAGGCTGGCACTAATGAGGCCCCAAGTGGGCGAACTTGATGCCAAAATGAATACCAGAGCTTTCTCCACGTGAGGTTACAGAGAGCTTGCTGCGGCCCTGTCTCTTTCCCAACTGCTTCTCTTCTTTTCTTTTTACATCAGTATCAGGGTTTGAACTCAGGGCCTTGCACTTGCTAAGCTGATGCTCTTGGGGTGTGCCATCACCCCATTGGCTTTAGTCTTTATTCAGATAGGGTCTTTTGCTTTTTGTGCAGGCTAGCCTTGGGACTGGGATTGTCCTAATTCTCCTCCTGCATAGCTGCGATTATAGATGCGTATCTATATCCCACCACTCCTGGTGTTAGTTGAGATGAGGTCTAACTAATCTTTTGTCCTGGTCTCTACTTGCCAAGCAGCTGGGATTACAACCTTGCCTGACTAACTGCTCTCTTCCTTATGCACAAAAGTGGGGGTAGGGGAAATGCTATGCCTACAGACTGCCTGCAACCAGGATGCCCCCGAACCTATGTTTGCCGGTCCCCACCAGGGTGAGCCTGCAAGTGCTCGCCACTTGCCTGGGAAACAACCAGCTTGGCCTGGGTGTCTTCCAGCCGTTTCCGTAGGGCTGCCATTTCCTCCTCCCGTTGGGCGGCAGTGCTCGCCAAACTGCCACGCTCCTCTTCCAATGCCGTGATCTGCGTCACCCACTTCGCCTCTGACTGCGGCGTGGGAAAGACGGGGAAAACACTGAGATTAAACTGTCCCCTTGGCTGGGAAGGAGGCTCAGTGGTAGAGTGCTTGCTTTGCATGCACGAGGCCCTGTGTTCCATTCCTCAGCACCACATAAGCAGAAAAAGCCGGAAATGGAGTTGTGGCTCAAGTGGTAGAGTGCTCGCCTTGAGCTGAAGCGCTCAGGGACAGCGCCCAGGCCCAGAGTTCACAACTGACAAAAAAAACAAAAACAAAAAAACAAAACTGTCCCCTCTCCACTCCCACTGCCTCAGTCCAAAAGCTGGAGTCAGTGTGTCTGGAGGCAGGGCCCAAGGGGCCCAGGGGAGGGCAGAAGGCAGGGCAAGGGGGGCGGGGCTCACCTGGGCAGATGTTTCCAGGCTGCCGTGGAGGACCTGCACCTCCTGCCTGCTGCTGACAAGTTCTTGCTTTAAGCTTTCTAGAACTTCCTGCTGTTCCTGAGTCTGAAACAGGAGCAAAACAGATGGGCTCTGAGCTGGGGTGGTTAGAAGGGAATAAACAAATGAAAAGGTACACAAAGTGTGTACAAACGAAAATATACACGAAGCTGTGTGTACTCCATTGCATGCTAAGAGCACATCTGTGTGGGCTGGGTATAGTGGTACACACCTATAATCCCAGCATTCAGAGACTGAGATAGAAAGATGGTGTTCAAAGACTAGCTTGGGCTCATAGTGAGACCTTGCTACAAGGAAAAAAAATAGCATGTGGTGTGGGCAGAGCAGAAGGAGGTAACATCCTAGACAGCTCCCCCAAAACTTCTCTTCCAGTTCAGGAGTGTTAGGTCAAGTGAGGTTTTGAACGGTTACCTCCCTAAAGTCCAGATCGAGCCTCTTATATGGACTCAGGACCAAGCAGAGATTTGATGGATGCATCCGAGCCCCTGGCACTCGGTAGAGCGCAGTATAGTACGTGGGGGAGCACAGCACCTCACCTTCCTCAAGTGATTTCCTCTGTGTGGTTATTTCCTGAGTGGGCTGTGTGGATTGTTACCCAGCACAACTCATGGCTACCTTTTTTTTTCTGACAGCACTGGGTTTTGAACTCAGAGCCTCATGGTCTCAGCTTGGCTTACTTGCTAAGATGGTGCTCTACTGTGAAAACACGCTGCAGCCCTGATTAGTGCTGGTTGTTTTTGGAAATGGCGTTGCATAGATTTTTCTGCCCAGGCTGCCTTTGAATCTCAGTTCTCAGCCTAAGTAGGTGGGATTACAGGTGGGAGCCTCTGGAACCTGGTTCATGGGTAACATCATTAAAAATAGATTGAATAGAAGTTATCTAAATCACTATAGTAATATTTTGATGAAATTTTAGTTCTATTAAATGGGTTGTATGTATGTGGGGGTATTGTTACTGAGGTTTGAACTCAAGGACTGAGCACTCAGTTTTGTGTGTGTGTATATGCACGCGTTCTGGGGCTTGAATTCAGGACTTAAATGCTTTCCTTGAGATTCCTTTTGCTCAGGGTTAGTACTCCAACACTTGAGCCACAGCTCCATTTCTGGTTTTGGTGGTTAACTGGAGAGAAGAAGCATGATCATCCGGCTTTCCCCTCTCCTATTTTTCCTCCCCCCCTTTTCTTTTTCCCTCCCTTTTTTTCTTTTTTTGTCGGTCGTGGGGCTTGAACTCTGGGCTTGGGCATTGTCCCTCAGCTCTTCAGCTCAAGGCGAGCGCTCTACCACTTGAGCTACAGCGCCACTTCCGGTTTTCTGGTAGTTTATTGGAGATAGGAGTCTCACGGTCTCTCCTGCCTGGCTGGCTTTGAACTGCGATCCTCCGATCTCAGCCTCCTGAGTAGCTAGGATTACAGGCGTGAGCCACCAGCGCCCGGCTTTTCCCTCCCTTTTGAACTGCGATCCTCAGATCTCAGCCTCCTGAGTAGCTAGGATTACAGGCGTGAGCCACCAGCGCCCGGCTTTTCCCTCCCTTTTTTTGAGACAGGGTCTTGACATATATCCCAGGCTGGCTTACAGTTTGGGATCTATTGCCTCAGCCTCTTTGAGTGCTGGGATTGCAGGTGTTTATCACCATGCCTAGCTAGATGAATTTTTGAGTTGGGGTTAGAGAGAAGTAGAAAGCCACAACTCCAGTTCGGACACTCAGTTCATCTCTGCCCTTTGTGAGTACATCCTTCAGGCCTGCGCACATGCAGCTCTCTCTCTCTCTCTCCAGGCCAGCCAGGGCCCTCACGCTTTCTCCGGTGACTACAATCCCAGGGTGGAGAGCCCGCTGCATCTGCTCGCTCACCTTGCGCTGGGCCTGCTCACTCACGTGCTGGAGCGCACCCTGCAGCTCGCTCTTCTCTCGCTCCAGCTCTGCCTGTGCTTGCCTGGCCACCGACACCTGCTTGGTCACCTCGGCGTTCTGAGAGGGGGAAAAAGACCCTGAGCTGGGTTGCATCAGGCCTAGAGGGCATTTTCTTCTAGAAGCTACTAGGCCATCCGGGTTGGAACCAGACCCACGTGTGATTTCTTAGCCAGAGGGAAGCCAGAATGGAGTAAAGGTCTATAGATACTGGCTGTCCATGAATGCAGAAAAGTAGCAAACATGGGTGATTCTGTGTGGCTCTGCACACAGCCCTTGCTATGGGAGGTGGGGGTGTGGGAAGCTGGGGCTCATGAGGACAGGGTGCCCTCCCCTACCTTGCGCAGCAGGTCGGCATGGTTCTGCACCAGCTCACTGTACTTCTCCTTCAGTTTGCTGTAGCGCTGTTCGTTGGCCTGTGCCTTCCCTGCATGGGGAAGGACCAAGGTGAAGCATCTCCCTGGCCCAGGCCCCGGCTTCCTCCTGGGGACCTGGCTCAAGTAGTAGAACACCTGCCTACCAAGTGAGTGCAAGGCCCTGGGTTCAAACCTCAGCAGCACAACTGCTCCCCCCCCCCAATAAAATAAACATCTGCCCACTGATCCACGCGTGCCTGCACCCAGGAGTGATTTATGCCTTCCAGTTCTTTCCTTTTTTTGAGAAAGCATGTCACTATGTAGCCCAGGCTGACCTAGAACTTGCAATCCTTTTGCTTCAGCCTCCTGAATGCTGAGACTATAGGTGTAGATTACCACACAGGGTTTTGTTTAGTTTTGCCAGCCTAGGATTTAAAACTCAGGGTCTCCTGATTTTCCTGTGTTTTTCCACACAGGCTTGTTTTTTGTTATGTCTTTTCTTTTTTTCTTTTTTGGTTGTTGGTTGTGGGGCTTGAACTCTGGGCCTGGGCGCTGTCCCTCAGCTCTTCAGCTCAAGGCTACAGCGCCACTTCTGTTTTTTTGGTGGTTTATTGGAGATAAGAGTTTCACAGCCTTTCCTGCCTGGGCTGGCTTTGAACCGCAATCCTCAGATCTCAGCCTCCTGAGTAGCTAGGACTATAGGCCTGAGCCACCAGCGCCCCACTCCTTTTTATTTTGGGGAGTAGGGTTTCCTGTGTTCTGCCTGAGGCAAGTCCTGGACAGTGATCTTCCTATCTATACCCCACCCCCCAAGAAGATGGGATTATAGGTATGCACCATCATACCCACGCTTTTCTGATTTCTTTCCTTAAGCCTTTGCCTGTTTTCCCTCTCCCCAGGGCAGTCACCCCATGTTTCCATGAGCCCTGGGGCAGCAGTGCCTCCTGTAGGCCCTGCTCTCAGTCTCAAAGCAGCAGGACCCTCTACCCCAGCCCCCAGTCTGCCCAGGCCCTGGTCTCCCACGCTCCCCGGCACAGCCCCAGGCCCCTCACTCTCGATCTCCGTCAGGCTCCGCTGTGCCTTCTCCGTGTCTTCCCGTTGCTTCTTGAGCTCGTCCAGCTCTGTGCGCAGGAACTCGCAGTCATCCGTCGCCTGCCGCCCCAGGTGCTTCTGCTCTGCCAGCTCAGCCTCCAGCTCGCTCACGCGGCCCTTCAGCTGCAGCATGGCCCGCTGGCTCTGTAGGAGGGACCGGGGAGGAAGGGCCAGGTGAGGAGGAGCCTGCACTGCCCCGGGGCAATTGGTGCTAGCCCGTTATTACAACTAAACAAGTACAGCCGGCTTCTCAATCCACCACTCCTCATCCCTGATCTGCAGATCCAACCAACCACAGGCAGAAAATGAGCATGTACAGACTTTGTGTGTGCTGGTCCTGGGGCTTGAATTCAGGGCCTGGCTGCTCTCCCTGAGCTCTTTTACTCAGGGCTAGTGCTCTACCCCTTGAGCCATAGCTCTATGTCTAGCTTTTTGGTGGTTCTAGTCTCACAGACTTTCCTACCTGGGCTGGCTTTGAACCACCATCCTCAGATCTGTCTCCTGAGTAGCTACAATTACAGGCTTGAGCACTAGTGCTCAGCCAACTTTCTGTTCTTGACACTACTTTTTTTTTGGGGGGGGGTCAGCCTTGGGGCTTGAACTCAGGGCCTGGGTGCTGTCTCTGAGCCTCTTTGTGCTCAAGGCTAGCGTTCTACCACTTGATCTACAGCACCACTTCCATTCTTTGAGATAAGAGCCTCAAGGGGACTTTTCAGACTGGGCTGGCTTTGAACTGTGATCCTTAGATCTCAGACTCCTGAGAAGCTAGGATTACAGGCGTGAGCCACTAGTGCCCAGCTCTTGTTACTACTCCTTAAGGAATGCAGTCTAACAATCATCTGCACAGCTTGAACCCTACACAAAATGTTCCGGGGCTCAGCATGGACACACAAGTTCGGGTGCACAACTTGGGCACGGGGTTCTGGCCTGCGGAGGGTTCTCAGCCATCTGCTAAGGAGACACAGAAGAATGTGTCACTCCAAGCCACTACCTGCCACTAGAGGGAGCGAAGAGGGTCCCATGATCCAGGACACATGGGCTGGGGTAGCCATAGGTGAGCTGGAAGGAGGTGGGACAGGGTGCTGGGCGGTCCCTGTGGTCTGGTCATCTTCTAGCTGGCCACGGCTCTGAGGGGCAGGCGCAAAGACAGCACCAGGGACTGCACACAGCTGTTACCACCCCCAGCTAAACCCCTGGTGGTCCTGGGAAATGAACTCAGGACTCTTGTACCTTCTGAAAGGCAGGCACTGTGCTATTGAGCCATACTTCTAGCCTTTTTGCTTCTTTGTTTTTCAGATTGGGTCTCAAAGTCTTTTGTTGGGGACCATAATCTTCCAACTTATGCCTCTTGTGGAGCTGGGATCATAGGTATCTGCAATTAGGTCTGCCTTGTCGGTTGAGATAGGGGTCTCACTGACTTTTTCCTGGACCGGCCTCAGAGATCCTCCTGATCTCTGCCTCTCAAGCGGCTGGGATTACAGGTGTGAAGCACTGCCCTAGTCTCTAAGCCAAACTCTTCTTAGGGTTTTATGACAAGAATGGGGTCTTTCTTATCACAGCCTCTTGTCCAGGGGGTGATCTATAGGTCACAAAGTGGATACTGGCACGTGGCTTAACTATGTCCTGAAGGCCTGTGCCATGACATGAGGCAAGCGCAGGCTGCTTAGCTTTGGCATTTGGGCTGTGGTCCAACCAGTACCACAAGCCCTGAGGCTCATATAAAACCCAACCAGGTGCCGGGGAGGCACAGTAGCAAATGGGGCCCAGAGCACACCTCTGCCTTAACCTTCTCCAGCTGTGCTGTGAGCCCGCGGATCTCCCCGTACAGCTGCTCGATCAGGTGGTCCCTGGGGAGAGAAGGAGCATGGTCAGCTCCCGCAGCGTGCTGCCCTGCCTGTGGGAGTGGAGGCGGGGGCGGGGTGGAGGTGGAAGGCTGGAGGTGCGGCCCAGCGGCATGAGGACCCCAGCTCAAAGCCAGTGGGAACAGTGCTTTGACACCAGATCACACAAATGGTTCCCATCTGCAGGTATTCAAATCCATGAATTCAATTGACTGTGGATGGACAACAATGGAATAATCGGGAAAACAAACTGCATCTGCTGGGAATGTGGTAGTCAGATGCTTCCCTTTGGTCTTTTTCTTTTTGTGGTGCTCCTGGGGCTTGAAGTCAGGGCCTGGGCTCCGTCCTAGAGGTTTTCCCCACAAGGATAGTACTCTACCACTAGGGCCACAGCGATACTTCCAGTGTTTTTTGGTATTTAGTGGAGATTGGAGTCTCATGGACTTTCCTGCTGGGACTGGCTATGAATCAGGATCCTCAGATCTGTCTCCTAAGTAGCTGGGATTACAGGCATGAGCAACTGGAGCCTAGCACCTCCCATTGCTAGTCTGAAACAACAGCATGTTGCCACCACCTGTCCCTAGCTGCCACGTCCTCAGCAGCTGAGCATCTGGAGATGGCGTAGAGACTGCAGGAAGGCGTGGCACACTTGTGTCAGCTGCCATTCCTCAAGGCTCCATCTGCAAACTCTGATGCCCACGGGAGGGGGCTCCCGGCCCTCCCGCTGTGGTACTGTGAGGACTGGGAGTAAGGGGTGCCGGCTGAGGGTCAGGCCTGGAGAATTCCTCCCAGGGTGGAGCTGGGCCTTGAACTCACTTCCCATCCTTGCTCACGCCGTTCTGACTGTCAAAGTTGAAGGGATCACTGCTCAGCGAGCTGCCAAAGATGCCATCAAACTTGTCGTCAAACAAGGTCTGTTGCCCAGCCAGAGAACAAGTCAGAGAACAGAGACAAACACATGGGTCAATGGGTGTCATGAAAAGAGCCCCCCACTTTGTTACATCAGGTAACTCACTCCTGTAATCCTGTCTATCGGGACTTGAGGACTGGGAGGACTGCAGTTCAAGGCTAGCCTAGGCAAAATGTTTTCAAAACCAAGATAGAAAAAAGGCTGGGTGTGGTGTTATGTGTGTGTCACTACAGCTAGGTGGGAAGTATAAATAGGCCAGCCCAGACAAAACATATGAGACTATACTAGAAAAATAACAAGAGCAAGAAGGACTGGGTTGTGGCTCAAGTGGTAGAACACCTGCCTCGCAAGCAAGAGGCCATGAGTTCAAACCCCAGTGCCACCAAACAAACAAAAAGACTGCTCTCCCCCCTCCCCCACCCATCCCTGTCTCTCCAGGAAGCAGAACAGAATGAGAGAAGTGTCTGTGGCTCAGGTGAGTCCCACGCATTTGAGATGCAGACCTGGGAGGATCACAGAGCCAAAAATTCAGAACCAGCCTAGGCAATATAGTGACACCTCATCTCAAAAATGAACAAGTGTGGTGATACACACGTAATTCTAGCTATCTGGAAAAGCAGCAGGAAGATCACGTCTGAGACTGACCTAGGCAAAGGAAAAAAAAAAAAGCAAAAAACACAAAAACAAGACCTTATCTGGTAAAACTAAAGCAAAAAGGGCTGAGGGTGTGGCTCAAGGTAAAGGCCCTGAGTTCGAACCCCACTACTGTCTCCCCCAAAAGGCCAAACCTGACAAGTCAATGTGCCAGCCCCAGGGTCTCTCACATCCTCATCCCTGAACAGGGGGCGGGTACATGTCCAGCCAGGGTCCACACCTGCCGGGCAGCATCCACGTCTACCAGGTGCCCTTTGTCCAGCGCTGGCTCACTGTCAGGGGATGAGGCCTCTGCAGGGATCACCACCACCGGACTGATATGCTCCGACAGGGCCGAGGCTCGCAGGAAGTTTGGGGGGTTCTGAGGAGAGATGCAGTTCCACATGACTTGCCAGCCTGCCTGCGGGGTCCTGGACCCCCCCATCACCTGCAGCACCTGGGGCCCTGCCAGGAGCACTTACCTCGGGCAGCTGCGGTATCTGGATGAGCCGTTTGAAGTACTGCAGGTTGCTGGAACGGTGGAACAGGTCTCTCAACCTGTGGAGGAGGCCAGGGGCTGGTGCTGGCGGCTGGGTGGGGATGAGGCAGCCCCTTGCTGTCCCACCCCGTCCACCCAGTGGCCGCCAGGGGACCTGATTTAATTATGACAGTGGTAAAGGACATAATCCATGCTGCTGGCAATTTGGCTATAAGCAAAAATTAAAAAAAGGCACTGGTGCAGCAGCTCACACCTATGATCCTGGCTAATTAGGAGGCTGAGGTCAGGAGGGCAATGTTTGGAGGCCAGTCCAGGCAGAAGTTTGAGACCCCACTACCTTCTCAACCTGTAACTGGGCGCAGTGGCATGCCATCTGTCTCCCCCCCCCCCCCAAGCAAGTGGGAGGCTGAGATTGAGAGGATCACATGTCCAGGCCAGCAGGGGCAGAAAAATCCAGAAGTATGCCATGGTGATGTACACCTGTAATCCCAGAAGTGACACAAAGCCTAAAACAGGTGGATAGCAGTCCAAGCACATACTATAGTGGGAAATGGGACCTAACTCACAAATAACCAACAAAAGCCAGGGCTGGAGGCATGGCTTAAGTGGTAAAGCCTAGCAAGTATAGTCCTGAGTGCAAACCAAAAACTGGAGCCTGCTACCTGAGCCCTGAATTCAAGCCCCAGGACCAGCACAAAAACAAGGGAGGAGTGCCTTGGCTAAGTAGCTCAGTGTTAAGGGTGTGGCATTTGTGAGGTCCTGGGTTAGTTCCATTCCCAGCACTGGAAAAGAAAAGGAAGCTGTTTTCTGCGAAGTTAAACCAAGGAGCTGGAGGAACAGATTTCTTTTGCCCCTGAGCTATGGGCAGCTCCGTGAGAGCAGAGGGCTAACAGCTGAGCTCTACAGACTATAACACCCAGCACTAGAGACACCTAGGAATACTGGCTGGGGACTAATGAGCTAGCTATACTGACCCCATCTTGGGAGGAGATGATTGTGGGAACTCAGGACCTCATGCTCTATCACCTAGACCCATGTACCCATGCTCCTTTCCCCTTGTCACTTTTTTCCTCCTCATTTTGGTGCCAATCTTGGGGCTTGAACTCAGAGCCTGAGCACTGTCCCTGAGCAATTGTGCTCAAGGCTAGTATTCTACCATGTGAGCCACAGCTCCACTTCTGGCTTTTTGGTGGTTAAGTGGAGGTAAAAGTCTCACAGATTTTCCTTCCCAGGCTGCCTTTGAACTGTGATCCTCAAATCTTAGCTGCTGAGTAGCTAGTATTACAGGCGTGAGCAACTGAATCCGGCCCCTTCTCTATTTTGAGCCAAACCACTGGAAACCTAGAAACACAAAAGCACTCAGAGTTGGATCACGGAGCTCAATGGTGACAGAACTTTCTTGAGTTCAGCTCCAACAACAAAGTCTGGCGTCTCAGGATGGCCTTCCAGACCCCCTAGGCTTAGGTGCAGCCAGACCGCACTGCTGCTTTCCTTGAATTCAAGTACAGCACGTCTCTAAGGAAGCAAGGACATGGCATCTACCCCGGGAGACACTTTCCTAAGCTAGAAGATGGAAGGAAATGCAGGCACAGATCACAAGGTTGGGTTGCTGGGCTTGTGCCAATGTTAACAGTCTACTGTTTTCACAAGCTACTGGAATTGACCATTCCAGGAACCGAGACCCAGCTTTCTATCTCCTGGGCTTTAGTAAGTCATTCATGATAGAATGTAACGCCTCTGCAGAAGAAGCTGGGCACCAGAAGTGAGTGCAGGCCCACTGCCCTTTGACCTTGGGAAAGCAGCAAACTAGCTTAGGAGCCATGGTCAAGGGCAAAGACATGAACAGGCACCAGGTGCTGATGCTCACGCCTGTAACCCTGACTACTCAGGAGGCTGAGATCTGAGGACTGACTGTGATTCAAAGCTAACTGAAACCAGCCTGGACAGAAAAGTCTCTTATTTCTAAAATAAAGAGCAAAATGCTAGACTGGAGGTATGTCAAGGGGTAAACCACCAACCACAAGTGAAAAAGCTAAGTGAGAGCTTGAGGCCCTGAGTTCAAGACCTACTACTTAGCAACAACAACAACAACAACAAAAGCAAAAGCTGGGTGCTGGTGGATCATGCCTGTAATGCTAGTTACTCAAGAGGCTGAGATCTGAGGATTGTGGTTCGAAGCCAGCCCAGCCCAGGCAGGGAAGTCCATGACTCCACCCAATGAAACACCAAAAAGCCAGAAGTGTGGCTCAAGTGGTAGAGTGCTAGCCTTGAGCAAAAAAAAAAAAAAAAAAAAGCTCAGGGACAGCACCTAGGCCCTGAGTTCAAGCCCCAGGATGGGGACCCCCCCAAAAAAAAAGCAGAACTCAAGTGCAGGCCAAGCAAATAGGAAACTATGATTGAGAAGCTGGGGTGTTAGGGTGGGGTGGGCCTAGGGAAATAGGGCATGGGAATGGAAAGAGGTGACCCATGGCCCTGGAATGGCAGTGGGTTGTACATGCTGGGTCCGGAGGGAGGAGGTGGGGCAGGAAGGAGGTCGGGAGTCTGGAAGATGTTAGAAGGTCCCAGAGGGTGGAAGAGGCTGAAGAGACGGAATAGGGCAACTTGCACCTCAAATGCACTGAATCCAGGGTGCAGACCATGGCGCCCTCCTCTCCGGCAGCATGTGCTCTGGCGGGTGTGTGGTAGTTTCTTGCTTTTCCTCTGCTCTTTGGCAGTACTGGGAACCGAACTCCTTATTGAACAGGTGCCACACCACTGGTTACTTTCAAGGTGAGCTCTCGAGAGATGCTCGGGTTGGCCGGGGCTGAGATCTTCCTACCTGTACTTCCTAGTGTTGTGGGGATGACAGGCAGGCACCACAATGCCTGGCCACTGTGCTTTCCCTGGGGCTGGGACAGCAGGTATATGCCACCATGCCCAGTCATTGTCTGAGATGGAATCTCACAAACTTCCTTCTACCTGGGTTGGCCTTGAACCTCCTTCCCCTGCTCTTCACTTCCCAAGTGGCTAGGGTGAGCCACAGTGCCCAGTAACCATTACCTTGAGACAGTTCACTGCACAGCCCAGAGTGGCTCAGAACTTGTAATTCTCCTGCCTAAACCTCCTAGGTGCTGAGATTACAGGGGTGTGCCACAATGCCTGACCCTATGCAGACAACTCTACTTGCAAAGGATTTCAAAGCATGCGCTCTTGTTTGAGAGTCACTTACTTTGTGAACTGCTCCATGAAGCGGTCTCGGTGGCCCTGCAGGGTGTCAGCGGGGAGACCTGCAGGGAACTAGAAGCAGTTAGGGGCAGGGGACGCCATGGTGGCCCTAATGTGGCAGCATGGACCAAGGTGTGGGGGATGGGGGTGTTGTACTATGTGGGGTGCACTTTGGGGTTTGGGTCTGAGTCCCTAGCCACCTCTGTGTCCCCACCCCTGGTGATGGAGCTGGCTGTCCGCAGGTCGCTGACATTCTTCCACACTGCACAATCTGAACTTCAGCTTTGAATCATAATGCAGCTTGTTTCATCTTCAGTTTTGTTGTTGTTTTGTTTTTTGTTGTCGGTCGTGGGGCTTGAACTCTAGGCCTGGGCGCAGTCCCTTGCACTCTTCAGCTCAAGGCAAGTGCTCTACCACTTGAGCCACTGGCCACTTCTGGTTTTCTAGTGGTTTACTGGAGATAAGAGTTTCGTGGACTTTCCTACCCGGGCTGGCTTTGAACTGCAATCCTCAGATCTCAGCCTCCTGAGTAGCTAGGATTACAGGCGTGAGCTACCAGCGCCCGGCTTCATCTTAAGTTTTTTTTTTTTAAGTTATGTTTATTCTGTCCTTTCCTCTTTCTTTTAACTTCACCCAGGCCTGCCTTGAGTTCCTGGGCCCCAGCAATCTTGAATCAGCTCCCCAGATAGCAGGGATTAGAGGTGTATGCCATCAGACTAGGCTTATTTTTCAAATATATATTTGAAAAACATTTCTTTTAGTATATACAGGGAAGTACATGTATAAGGTACGGGCTGGGCAGGGTAGCATACACCTCTAATCATTTGGTATATCCAGGGAAATACATGTATAAGGTACGGGCCGGGCAGGGTAGCACACACCTCTAATCCTAGCTACTTGCTATAGGCAGAACGGGTAGCAAGACCTCATCTCAGCCAAGTCAGGCCTGGTGCTTCACACCTATAATCCTAGCTCTGTGTGAGGCAGAGGAGGAGAACTAAGGTCCAAGGCCAGCTGCAAGCAAACACTTGAGACCCTACCCTAAAATTAATGAAAGCAAAACAGTGGTTGGCTGCTGGGGGGTGGGGGTGGGGGCTGGCGTGGCCCTTGGTGAATGGTGATAGGCCAAAGCATGGGGGGTGGGGCCAGGCACCTCAGGAACTGGAGGCTAAGCAGGCCAGGCCTGCCCTGCTACTCACATGAGTGGAGCTTGAAGAGGAGCTTGACGGTGTAGTCATACAGGTGGCTGCAGTCCAGGATGACCTGGATGAGGGGGGCCAGGCGGCACTGGCCCGCCGCCGTCACCGATACGGAGCGTGACATGTCCAGGGAGCTGAACACTGGCAAGTGAGAGTGGGACCCAGGCAGTTGTGGGGGGCTCTGCAGAGGCGTGGGCAGGAGCCTGCCACCCACCAAGGAGTGCACGTGCATGCGTCCCCCCAGCCACGGACAGCTGTCCTACAGGGCCTCGTATGCAGTTTCTGACCCCCAACACCCAAAACAAGCCTAGCACCTTAGCTACTCAGGAAGCTGAGCTCTAGAGGACTGTAGAGCCAGGCTGGGCAGGAAAAGCCAAGAGAGTCCATCACCAATGAACCAGCCAAAGATCAGACTGGAGGCGTGGCTTAAGTGGTGGAGCACCAGCCATAAGCAGAGAAGCTGAGTGAGAATGCAAAGCCCTGAGCTCATGCCCCAGCACCACAACCACATCCACCCACATATACATACAGGATTACAACAACGCAGTTTTGAGGTCTTGGGTCTAATGGGAGGTGGGACACTATTTATATGGAGCGAGAATGGTGGACACAGCAACCCAGCCTCCCTCTCCTGGGCAAGTGGCCAGTGGTCACCCCATCCTGTCATCACCAGGCTGGCCAAAAAGAAGAGAGCCACAGGGCTGTGGCAGGGGACACAGGCACCAGAGGTAGGGGTAGGGCGCAGGGGAGACTATGGGAGTCAAAGGCTGGCCAGGTCAGCGGACACTGCCTCCCTCTGCTTTCCCACACCCAGAAATGAAACTGTTCCTCAATGTCCTGCCTGTGGGGCCCCTCCGCATGCAGCCCCTACCCGAAACCCCAGCCCTGCAACTGGACACCGGGCTGGCCAGAGCTTTCCTTCTCCTTCTCCCTTTTTTTTTTTTTGGTGTGGGGGGGGGAGGCTGCTACTAGGGCTTGAACTCAGGGCCTGGGCACTGTCTATGAGCTTTTTTTTGCTCAAGGCTGGCACTCTACCACTTGAGTCACAGCTCCACTTCCAGCTTTTTGCTGGGTCATTGGAGAGAAGAGTCTTACAGACTTTCCTGCCCAGGCTGGCTTCAAAACACAATCCTCTGATCTCAACCTCCTGAGTAACTAGGATGACGGGCATAGCCACCGCTGTCTGGCTCTTTTGGTCTGACACAGGAGGTTTCGCTATGTAAGCCAGCCCTCGCCTCCTGAGTGCTGGGATTACAGGCAGCCACCATCACACCCAGCCCTTTATCTCCTTCTTGCATGGGCTGCCCACTGTCCCTAGAGACAGTACCTGCTGGCTAGGACATGACTTTCCCTGATGTCCCCCTGCCCTGCATGTGAGGAAGTCCTGAGGGAAGCCCAGAGCCTCCCTGTGACTTCTGGAAGCTAAAAAACATAAAATGAAAAGTAAAAATAGCCAGGCGTGGGTGGCTCATGCCTGTAATCCTGGCTATTCAGGAGGCTGAGATCTGAGGCCTGGATCTTTCTGGCGCCTCCCTGCCTGTGTCCTGTGATGCGTGTGAAGGAGCATGCCACCTGTCGGAGGCCCGGAGCTGAAGGATGCTGTAAGAGGATGAGGGAGGCAGAGAGTCCCACTGCAGCAGCTTCTAACCAAGTTATGTGAGAATGCCTGTAGTGCAGAACACTTTCTGATTCAGGCCTTTGCCAAGGCATGTTCCCAGAAAGCAGGGGAACCCACCACAGGAAGATGAGGGGGAGCTACTGGGGAGAAGGGGGTGGAGTGGCTTGTGAGGGAAGCAGACCAGCTCAGGCTGCAGGCATGATCACAGAACTGAGAATGTGCTTGGGCGCTTGGCAGGTCTGCCCACTGTCTTCCCTGGTGCCCACGATGGGGGACTTACCAGTCTGGAAGAGGCTAAGTTCACATTCCAGGTAGTCGAACATCTCCACCGTGAGCTGGAAACTGGGACCGAGAAAAGAGAGAGAAAGAGAGGGGGGGGAGGGAGGGAAGGAGAGTGGGAGGGAGGGAGGGAGGGAGAGAGAGAAAGAAAGAGAGAGCGCTCCAATCGCACACTGCAGTCTTGGACCTTTTCTTTTGGGGTGGGAGAGCAGAGAGCTACAGTTTGAACTCAGGGCCTTGGACCGGCGAGGTGGCATATGAACTACTGCCTGAGCCACACACCTCAACCATTTGCTGTCCCTGAGCTTCTTAACTCAAGGCTGGCACTCAGTCACTTGAGCCACAGCTCCACTTGCGGCATTTTTGTGGTTCATTGGAGAGAAATCTCACGGAATTCACTGCCCAAGCTGCCTTCAACCTGTGATCGTCAGACTCAGCTTCCTGAGTAGCCAAATTGACAGGCGTTAGCCACCAATTCCTGACTATTTTTTTTTTTTTCATATAGGGTCTCACACTTTTGCCTGGGACTGCCCTTGGACCACAATCCTCCTTTCTACCACCTCCTACAAGGCAGTGAAGACAAACACTGCCATGCCCAACTTGTTGGCTCAGATCGAATCTCACCAATTTCTTGCTCAGGGTGGCTTTGAACCACAATCCTCCTGACCTCTGTCTCTGCGGAGGCTGGGCTTCAGCCTTAACCTATCGTGTGTGACACGATAGGGCCTTGCAAATGCCAGGCAAGCATTCTTCCACAAAGCTCTACCCCTCCACCAGGCTAGGCTTCCACCCAATGCCCGGTGTGGGCTCCCGTGCCTCCCACTCCCTATGCTCGGCCCCTCCATAGGGACAGACAGCCATTTGGAGACACAGGGCCCTCAGCATACTGCCAAGGGGTGGGCGGGTCCCATGTTGAGTAGAGATGGAGTGACACAGAGAAAAGACCCAGCACCTGTGCCAGCCCCTGCCCTGCCAGCCCTGGGCCCCGGGGAGGCCAGGGGGGAGTGACAGGCAAAGAACCTCCTTCCCCTATGCCAACTCACAAATTGTTCACGTCGCTCTCGCCGGCCTCATCCAGCTGGCGGTCATTCATCTGCAGGTTGCCTGGGAACCGGGGATTCTAGAAGGAGGTGGAAACAGGAAGTGAGCAGCCCATCTCGAGGGGCCTCCTGTAGGCACACAGCTCATCCTCAGGACTGTAGGGCCAGTGGCTACAACCTCTCATGTCTCCACTCTCCAAACCCACACACTGGAACATTCCTGAGAACATGACTTTGATCCTCCTGCTGTGGCCTCCCAAGCGGCTGGGATTACAGGTGTGTACCACCAGGCTCTCTCTCCTAGCTTCAACCCTCTGGTTACTTCCTCTGCACCTGTGATCAGGACTGCGGCTGGCCCCGCCCTCTGGGGTCTTGGACCCCTCCCACAGCTCTATGTGCTGGGGGCTAGGGTTGCAGTGACCCCAAGAGGGGGGGCCACCACCACACAGTGACCCTGAAAACAGTGCTTGCCCATGTCCCCCCTCGGCATCCCAGCCCTGTGGTTTGTATTCTGTCCTGATTGCCCCATCTTTGCTTCTGAGCAGCTGGGATGGCTGCCAGATGCAGACTACACGAAGGGTCTGTGTGCAGACTCGTTAGGGAAATGGCAATAATTGCCTTTTCCTTTTGTTTATTTGAGACAGGATCTTACTATTGTATCCCCCAGTTTCAGTCTCCAAGTGCTGGGATTACAGGTGGGGAACACTGCCCAGCTACAGGAAGTGCTTTTCATGATCAAATTGATCCCTTATCCTCTCTTTTCCCCCCCTCTTGCTCCCTCCCTGCCCCTTTCTCTCTTTTTGCCAGACAAAGTTCTATCACTGCCTTACAACCCCAGTCCTTAGAATCCAGATTTTTCTGTCCCAGTATGGGGGTTTGAACTCAGGACCCTGTGCTTGCTGAACAGGTGCTCTACCACTTGAGCCACACCTCCACTGCTTGTTTGCTTTCATTATTTTTCAGCTAAGATCACTTGCGCTTTTGCTCTGGGCTGGCCTTAGACTCACTCGATCCTCCTATCTACGGCCCCTCTTGTAGCTGGGAGTACAGGCGTGCCCAGGGGCGGCATCTCTGACATGTTCACAAGCAGTACCTGTAACTGGGGTGTGTGGCTCCTCTACTTTGTAAAATGGCTGCAGAGTACTTGAGCCAAAACCCTTATATTGCAACAACTCAGGGCCCTGAGCACAGTTACCCTGGCCATAGTCTTCCTCTCTCCAGGCTGGGAGGCTGAGAGATGGACCTGCCCACCATGAGGGAGAGACCCAGGGCTGGTGGCAGGTGCTCACCTTGGTGTGGAACTCCATCTTGGTCTTCAGTAGCTTCAGATAGATGCTGCACAGCTGCCCATAGCCCTCACTCAGGTGGCCCTGAAGAGACAAGAGAGCACGAGGGAGTGCTGGGAAAGATACCTGCAGCCAGTGCTTCCTTCCCAAAGATTCCCTTTCTCATTACAAATATAACAGACAAGCCAAGACTGGGTGGCTCACACCGCCTATAATCCTAGCTGAGCTGAGGATCTTGGCTCAAAGCCAGCCCCAGGCAGGGAAGTCCATGAGACTCTTATCTCCAATTAACTAGCAAAGTGCCAGAGTGGAGCTGTGGCTCAAGTGGTAGTACAATCCTTCAACCCTCCCTGCTGCTCACAGAAGAAATCTTAAACAAGCTACAAGAGGTACATTTGTCATATCTCAGTCCTTGTTTTGGGGCACATGGGGGAGGGGCAGGTGGCCCCTGAAGAATCTCCAAACTCACCCACATCCTGCTCATGTCACTCAACTCATTCTTGTATCTCAGAGAGTCCTTCAAGACCTGGACAGGAAACAGAAATGTGAGAGGGCAGCCAGACATCTAGTGGGGGTGGAGGCTAAGGAGGTGACCCATCACCCTAGACTGCATGCTCATGCCTGTAATCCCAGCTGCTTATTAGATCAGGAAGACTTCAGTTTAAGGTTGGACTTGGCCAAAAGTTAGCAAAATCCTATCTCAAAAAAACAATCTAGGTACTAGTGGCTAGGTGCTAGTGGCTCATGCCTGTAATCCCAGCTGAGGATCACAGTTCAAAGCCAGCCCAGCAGAAAGTCTGTGAGACTCTTTTTTTTTTTTAGTCAGTTGTGGACCTTAAACTCTGGGCCTAGGCACTGTCCCTCAGCTCTTCAGCTCAAGACTAGCGCTTACCACTTGAGTCACAGTGCCACTTCCGGTTTTGTGAGTGGTTTATTGCAGATAAGAGTCTCATGGACTTTCCTGCCTGGGCTGGCTTTGAACTGTGATCCTTAGATCTCAGCCTCCTGAGTGGCTAGGATTACATTGGTAGTGTGAGCCACCAGTGCCCAGCAAAATAGTGTTCACATTTTTTGTTTGTCTGTTTGGTTTTTGTCAGTCGTGGGGCTTGAACTCTGTGCTTGGGTACTGTCCGTGCACTCTTCAGCTCAAGGCTAGCACTTTACCACTTGAGCCACAATGCCATGTCTGTCTGTGAAGCTCTTATCTCCAATGAACCCAAAAGGCCAGAAGTAGAGCTGTGGTTCAAGTGGTAGAGTGCCATCCTTGAGTGAGAAAGCCAAGAAACAGGGCTAGGTCCTGAGTTCAAGCCCCAGTACTAACACAAAAACAAGACAAACAAACAAACCTGGGCATAGTAGTGTACACCTATAACTCCACCACTCTGGAGGCCTAGGTAGGAAGATCAAGATCAAAGACACCACTCTTAAAAACAACTTAAGGAAAAAGGGGCCAGGGTGTGTGATTCATGTGCTCAAGTGCTTGCTAAATGAGGATGTGACCCTGAGCTCAAATCCCAGTACTACATTCAGAAAAGGAGGGGGAGAAAGGGTATAGTGTTGGGGGTGAGGGGCGCCCCAGGACTCACATTTGGGTGTCCGTCTCGGAGGAGCTTGTGGAACACATGGCAGAACTTCCAGCAGAGCATGGCGTTGCTTGACAGGGGCAACCGGTTGACCACAGACCAGAAGGTGTGCGCACCTTTCTCATGGTGGGTGCCCAAGATGCAGGGTGAGGGGGTCAGGGAAAACACAGGCACGGTGCTGCCTCCCAGGGACACAGCTCACTGTCAGCACCCTGAGCTGGGCATCCATCCTGCCAATGGCCATCAACTGCCTGGTTCTGAGGCTTCATGATGCCTTCCCCCCAGACACAGAAGGGCCTCTCTTTCTCTCTAACGTGCTCAAGGGCGCCCGGGCCAGACTGGTGCTGCCTTGTCCTCAAAGCTCACATTTGAACAACACACGCCCGTGCTCTCTAGGAAGGTCTCTTATGTAGTACTGAAAGTGAGGATCTGTGCTGAGCGTGGTAGAGCATGCCTATAACCGCAGGGGTTCGGAAGCAGAAGCAGCAGGGTCATGAGTTTGACAGACTTCGACCACCTCATGAGACATTAACCCAAATATAAAAGCCAGGATGCGGCTCAGTGATACAGTGCTTTCCTAGCACACATGAGGGCCCAGGTTCTACCCAAAGAACTGCAGAATGAATGAATGAATGAAGGTGCTCAGTGCTCCATCCATAGCCCTAGATTCCCCCAGGGGATCCTAGACCAAGATCAGCTGCTTGTCAAGGCTCCTCCATGGGGAAGGACATCCATCAGCTACTCCTAGATAGATGTCTGTGGCTCATATCTGTACTTCCAGCTACTTGGGAGGTTGAAGTTAGAAAGATCATGGTTTGAGGCTAGCCAGGGCAGAAAAGTCCTCAAGATTCCACCTCAACAGAAAAAGCTGCCTTTCATCCCAGCTACAACGTGAAGCGTAAAATAGGGAGATGGTAATCTAGGTTTACACCAAGGCAGGAGGTGAGATCCCATGCCAAAAATAACCAGGTACCAGGCTCACACCTAGAATCACAGCTACCCAGAAGGCTGAGATCTGAGGGTGGTGGTTCAAAGCCAGCCCGGTCAGGAAAGTCCATGAGACTCTATCTCCAATTAACCACTAACAGCTGGAAGTGGAGCCATGGCTCAAATTGTAGAGCACTGGACTTGGAGGACACTGACTGGTAAGGAGGAGGAAGCTGTACCCTGGAGTGGGCAGTTGCCTCCTGGGAATTGGATTGCTCCCCTCCAGTGACCACAGACAGTGACATCCCTGGAAGCGGAACTTAGACGTGGGTCAGCCAGGCCATGGGGCCCAGACTATGGTAACCATGCGGCTTCCCCACCACTCCATCTTTCTCCATGGAAGCTCAAAGCTCGTGTCTGCCTGGAAGATGGGCTCTGGTGCCCACACTGCCCTGTCCCATGGATCCTGTGCAGTAGAGGAATTCCTCTCTCTGCCCTTCTCCACTATTTGCCTCTCTATTTTGTGTCCTGGGTGAACAACCTTGCTCCTAAATCCAGCCAAAGCCCGCCCCCTGCAGGCTGGCCACAGTCACTGCAGCTGCTGTGCAGGGCATGGCGGCTGTGGCCACCAGCCCTGGGAGACCTCTCCAGGGTTGGCTGGCTGGCTTTGTGCCACAGAGCACAGTGGCCCAGACAAGCCTGGCACCCAAGAGCTTCCTACGGCCAACAGGAACCTCCCCATGGCCTGCTTGGCCCCAGCCCCACTGTAGCTCCAGGAAGGACCTCAGGAGACCCATTGACTTGGGTGTGCTGCACCTGCGCCCACTACACAGCCACAAATCCATGATGGCGGACTCTGTGCAGTGGTATGTGACCAGGCCTTTCAAATTTCCCAGTAAGGGTTTTCTGTTGTTGTTGTTTTTGTTTTTTTAATTCAACTCGGGACCTTATGCCTACAAGGCAAGTGCTCTACCACATAAGCCATGTCCCCAATCTAGCATTTTGTCAATCCTCTGGCCTCTGTAGATGTTGCTCATAAGAAGGGATTTTACTCTCATGTGGTCCCTTGCCTTGGTTTCTTTACAACTGGGCCTTTCTCTTTTCTTCTTTGGCTTTCAAGATCAAAACAAGGGGACAACAGCTGCCTAGAGTTGGTCAATGTGGCTCCAAAGGCCAAGTATTAGGCCCAGCCAGAGGACTTAGAAACCACACATGAAAACCCTTCTGGGGGAGCTGGGAAGGTGGCTCAGTGGTAGAGCGTTTGCCTTGCATGCATGAGGCCCTGGGTTCAATTCCTCAGCACCACATAAGCAGAAAAAAAAAAGCCGGAAGTGGTGTTATGGCTCAAGTGGTAGCGTGCTAGCCTTGAGCTAAAGAGCTGAGGGACAGTGCCCAGGCCCAGAGTTCAGGCCCCACAACTGGACCAAAAAAGAAAAAAAGAAAACCCCTCTGGGCCAGGAAGATGTCTCAAAGGAGAACTCTGCATGGATTGGAGTTCCACAACACTGTGATCCTAGGAGAGGGACAGGTCTGTGGCAAGTTAAAAGGACCGGGCAAAGCATGGTAGCTCTTGACTGTAATCCTACCTAATCAGAGGCAGAGATTGGGAGGAGAGCAGTTTGAGACCAATCTGGTCAAAAAAGGTAGCAAGACCTCCATCTCAATCAGAGGAAGAATGGTGGGGTGGTACATGCCTGTCATCCCAGCAATCAGGGAGGCCACAGGTAGGAGGAGGATCGGGGTCCAGGCTCACTCAACCAAAAACATGTCACCATATCCAAAAGACAACAAAAGCAGAAAAGGGCCTGGTGTGTGACTCAAGTGTGACTGCACTTGCTTAGCAAACCCAAGGCCCTGAGTTCATGACCCCAGAACTACTTACCACCCCCCCCCTCAAAACTGGGCTCAATGACCCAGGGTCCCTTCTATCCTGGGGTCTCTGAGGGTAGCTCTCTCTGAGAAGCTGTGGCACCCACCAGAAGCTGCTCCACTTGCAGGTACTTGGCCCCGAGTGGGGCTTGCTTTCCTGTCCCTGGCCTCCCTCTGGGTTGCCTCTGCTCCAGAATGATCGGGCCACACTTCCCAAAGGATATTTCTGGCGTGTTTCTCCTTGACGGCCACTTCCTGGGCATTAATGGCCTTATTGATGCTGATAGTCTGTAAGACAAGAGGGGAGGAGGGATGTGAGCAGGCATCTGAATGGCTGAGGTACTCCCAGAGCCCCACCCCTTCTCCCACCTCCCCCAATGCCCACAGGCCTCCTGCGCCCAGCTGGGGGCAGAGGTGGGTAGCAGTCCCAGGCCAGCTGGCTCAGGCTGGCCTAGGGAGTAGGCTCCGCTGCCTGGCATTGGCTGTGCCCAGCTGCCATGCCCGCCTGCCACTCATTCTCTTGGCACCGCAGGCCAGCAATTAAGGCCCACACAAAGAGGCCTTTGATTCCAGGGGAAAACATTATTCCTCCAGGAGCAGAGGGACCATCCTGTCACCCCTCGTCACCCCAAAACCTTCCACTGGGCTGGCCCTGGCAGGCCGCCCTGGCATTTGCCTTCCTTAATGACACCAGAGGACCTGGATTGGTCTTTCTAGTCTTTTGTATGATCATAACTCTCTTTAATTTAGCATGGTATAGATATGTATGAATATAATTTATACAAATATATAAACCACATCACATAAACAGGCTGATTTTGTGGTACAGGGGGGCTTGAATTCAGGGCCTTCTACCTGCTAGGCAGATGCTCTACCACTTGAGCCACATCCTCGGCCCTTTTTGCTTTCTTTTTCAGATATGGTTTCTCCTCTCTAACCTGGGGCCAGCCTTAAGACCTCAGTCCTCCCTACAGCTTCTGGGGACCTTGGAGTGCAGATGTACTCTGCTGCACCTTGCTTGTTGAGATGGGGGTCTCACTAACTTTCTGCCTGGGCTGGCCTCAATCTGTGATCCTCTTGACCTCTGCCTCTTGAGTGATTAACAGGCTTGAGCAACTGTGGCCTGTGAGTATTTAAAGTATATACTTTTTTCTTACACTTTTCTCAATTCCTTTCCATGCAATCCCTCAGCCCTAAATCACACCAACAATCTGCTAGGATTCCTTTTGCACCTCCTAATAAATACTGTAGAGTGACTGTCTGCAGTTCACACGTCCTTTCCACATCTTGCTGCCCTCACTGCAAAACACCGTGTGGCACATTCTCCATAGAACTCAAACTCACTCTTAAAGAACACACTGCTCCATAGTGTGCAAGCACTTCTGTAGTATTTCCTCCATTGTAAACTATTCACTAAACTTTTGTCTTGTTGGTGGTGGTCATGGGGCTTGAACTTGAGGCCTGGGCACTGTTCCTGCACTCTTTTGCTCAAGGCTAGTACTCTACTACCTTGAGCACAGCACCACTTCCAGTTTTCTGGTGGTTAACTGAAGATAAGAGTCTTGACACTTTCCTGCCTGGCTTCAAACCACAATCCTCATATCTCAGCCTCCTGAGTAGCTAGGATAACAGGCATGAGCCACCAGGGCCTGGCTTTTCTAAACTTTTATATATGGATTTCCTTTCCTTCCTGCCCGCCCATCTCTGAGACAAGGTCTATGTACTACGTACTCCAGGGTATCCTGTAACACAACCCTCCTGCTTTAGCTTTCTGAGTGCTGGGACTACAGGCACGTGCTACCACACTTGGCTCCATTAATACTTACTAACTGATGTTTTGTGATGGGTTTGATTTTGGAGTAGGCGATTGGTAGGTCAGGTGTTCTGTAATCTTATATTATGGAAAAAACCTAAAGGAACACAATTATGAAGAACAGTCTTACAAACTCTAACACTGACCATCACAGCCAAGCAGATCAGGGATCAGCAAACATTTTCTGCAAAGAGCCAGTCAATCAATATTTGAGGCTTTGTGAGCAATTAACTCAACTCTGCCACTGAATACTAAGCGGATACATAAATGTGTGAGTGTGGTTGCTCCAAGGGAAACTTTTAAAACTAGTTGGTAGGCAGGGTAGTGCATGTCTGTAATCATAGACAAGCTGTGTCCCCGGGATGTGGCACACTGCAGGGTTCCTGGGCAGACGGTGCCTGTTAGGGACAGTTGCCTTTGTGTCATGGATGTCCACAGCCTACATGTTCCCTGTCACCCCTGCTTGACTTCACATTTCGGAGACCAGCCTTCCAACATTTACTTTAATTTTTCTTTCCCAGACAGGGCCTTACTCGGAGCTCAGGCTGACCTTAAACTCGAGATCCTCCTGACTGCTGAGTTACAGGTGTGCACTGCCATGCCTGGCTGCATGCCCATTTCTCCCAGAATCTTGGATGCTTGTTTTTCTCCCCACCAAGGGTAAACCCAGAGTCTAGAACCTGCCTCTTCCTCCCCTGTAGGCATGCCACTGTGCAGGCAGGGCAGCTGTGGTTTCCTCCCCGCCCCCTGCCTCCAGGTCTGAACTCAGAGCTTTGTACTTTCTAGACAGACACTATACCCCTCAGCAACATCACTAACCCACTTTAGTTACACATTTCTGCTCAGGGCTGGCCTCAGACTGCCATCTTCTTACTTATACCTCCTGTGTAGCTGGGATTACAGATGTATACCACCACACCTGACTTGTGTGAGATGGGGTCTTGCTAACTTTTGGCTCAGACTGACTTTGGGTCTCTATCTCCCAATAGCTGGAATGTATGTGTCTGTGTGTGTGTGCACAGAAAGGCATGCCAGTAACTGGAGCTTGAACTCAGGGCCCAGGTGCTGTCCCTGAGCTCTTTTGCTCAAGACTTGTGCTCTACTACTTTGAGGCACAACTCCACTTCTGGTTTTCTGGTGGTTAACTGGAGATGAGTCTCACGGACTTTCCTGCCCTGGCTGGCTTTGAACCTCGATCTTCAGATCTCAGCCTCCTGAGTAGCTAGGACAGCTGTGAGCCACCAGTGCCTGGCTTGGGGTAGAGTTCCCTGCACCCCAAGTCCTAGGTGGTGCTGAGGAGAATCCACTCCCCACCCTGGCAGCCAGACTCAGGAGTCACTTGTTCAGGCTGACACCCAGCTCTGCCAACCAATGCCAATGGAGGACAGCAGCCGGGGGGGTTCTGTCTCACCTCAGGATGGGGCCCAGGGTCAGCACACATCCTCTCAGAACAGGCTGTTCCCCAGCTTTCCATGCTGTCACCCGGGACCTGGGAGCAGTGGCAGGCCCCCTGAATGGGCAGCATTGTAAAGCACTTCCGGCCCCAGCTGGCCCTCCTGGCCCCATGGGTCCCAGAGAGCCAATTATCAGCAGGCCCCACAGGAAGGGCAGTTTTCTCCCAGCTTCTCTTCCTCTCTCTCAGGACAGCCCAGCCAGGAAGAGCCAATGGGAGCCCAGGCCAAGCTTCTGTGGAGAGGAGGGGCTGGGCCAGCCCAGCCTACAGGGCCAGCTGGGCACCGTCTGGTCACGCACACAGCTCTGGACAGGAGGCCAGCAGAGGGGCTGCCAAGGTCAGGCCCATGGGAGGGAAGGAAGAAAGGATATGCTCTGTGTGGGGTGGCAGCTCAGAGGCGGGGATGGTGGGAAGGGAAGGGGAGGGGAGGAAGACAGGAAGGGAGGGATGGAGGGAAAGGACATGGTGTGAAAGGGTAGAGGGAAGTATGGGGGGATATGGGCCCATTCTAAATATCTTGATGGCACAAAGATTACCCAACTGTGAATGTCAAACCTTGTGGTGGGCTGGGTGTGGTAGCACATGCCTATAATCCTAGCAGAGGCAGGAGGATCTGGAGTTTGAGTTCAGTGCCAGCTTGGACTATATAGCAAGATCCTGTCTTAAAACCAAAACCAAAAAATGCTAGGGGGACAGTGCATTAGCCTACTCCGCTATAATCTCTACCCCTCAGGAGGCAGAGATTTGAGGGGATTGGATTGTAAGGCCAGGCAGGGTAAAAAGTAGCAAGACCCCACCTTACCCAGATGTGGGCTCACCTGTAATCCCAGCTACACAGGAACAAGGATCCTGAGGCTGCATAGAGGATCAGGGTGTGATGCTGGCATAAATGTGACACCCCCACTTCTTAACCAAAGGCTGAACATAGTGTTGTTTCCCCCCCCCCCGGGCCACCGGGCCACCCTACTACACAGAAAGCCTGCCACAAGCAAGGCACACCCAGGCAGCCTCTGGGGAGGAAGCAAGGCCTGGCCTCAAAAATAGCCAGCAAAAACTCAGAGTGGAGACATGTTTTAGTGGTAAGAGGACCTGCCATGCTTGGTGCTTCCCAAACTCCACCACCTAACACCAAAAGAAACCTCTTTCTCTGCCCCCCACCCTTCAAACCCGGGCCACACAGTCCATGATGCCAAGCATCTCTCATGGGTCTTGAAACTTCTTGTCCCCTGATGCCAACTTCCTCTTCCCAAAACAGTTTCTGGAACAATCATGGGCCTCAGAGTCCATGGGATTGTCCAGTGGGACAGAAGGGAAGCCCAGCCTCTCCACAGGGCTGCTAGTTCCTCCTGGAGGAAGCCCCAGTTTCGCTTCCCAAGCACCCCCAAGCCACAGGGTGGGGCCCCAGGCCCCTGCATCTCTGCACCATTCCTCTGCCTGGGCCACAGCCTGGCCTGGGAGAGCTGTCCACACACGCTACAACCCTAGGCCGTGTCTTCCCCCACACCAGCCATGCTGCCCCACATCCTCTTCCCTGTGGCAAGCCTGTTCCTCGCTCTGCGTCCCCAACTGGCCCTCAGCCTCCTCCTCTCGCAAGCGGCCACAACAGCCTCACTGCCTAGACTAGACCAGGCAGCTTGCCACTGGCCACCTCCCGGCAATGGGGCCCTCATTCTATGTCATGGCAGGAACCCATCTCATGCTGATACTAATGCATAACTCTCTGCTACCCTGCCTTCTACCACACTGAGAACCCAGGACAGCAGTAAGAATGAGGTGCCTATAGCTGACCTGTTGTCAGCACTCACTCAGCATGGGCAGAGCCCTGGGTTCACACCCCACATTAAGAGAGAGGAGTGTGTAAGAGAGCATGTGTGTGCAGGAATGCATGTGACTATGTAGTCATGTGTATGTGTAGTGTGCATGCGCGTGTTTGTGGGTATGTATAGGTTTGTGTGTGCACGCGCGTGTACGCGCACATGTGGCAGTACTAGAGATTGGACCCAGAGTCCAGGGTATGCTGGA